GTTAATGCTGCTCAATGTGAAAGCCCGCAGGTGATGGAGATTTACTGCTGATTACAGAACCGGCTTTCTGACAAGATGCGCGTTAAATATCGCATGCGATTTATCGTGCAGCCCTAGTGTCAAGTAACAGTTTCGCATTCAGTGTGGACAAACAAAATTAGGACATGTGATAGTTCAGGTCTGCAGTAAATTTGGCAGTATATTAAAAGGCAATAATTTATGATATTTACTACAATGTGCTTGTATACAGAGTAACGACATGCTGTAAAGCTCCCATGCTTTAGAGCAGAAGCATACTTACTCACAAACTGTAGGAAATGAAAGCCCCACAAAGGCACTGGACAGGTACTCAGTGTACATTTCATTGGCCACTCCCTCCAGATAATACTTCTGCCATGTGTCCTCCTCAATCTGCACAGAAAATACAGTTGGATTCAGATACACACAGTCAGGGAGGACAACATATTTCATTTTATTGGAATGGCTAGATAGCAATCAGAACATGTCTAAACATTTTTACACAAGACTCAAGAAAATTATATCTGACTTAACGGGATAGTTCACTCAAAAATGAAAATTATGTTATCATTTGCTCAACTTCCTGTCTAAACCCATAAAACTTTTGCTCATCAACAAATTGAGATATTTTTAATGAAACCTGAGTGATTTATGTGTCTCGATTAAAAATCCATTCCACCAAACCATAAATGAATTATAAAAGAAAACCATATGAATCAAGCACTTTAATCCAAGTCTTCTGACAAGACACAATTGCTTTATATTATATAAGGAATTGTGTCTCTTCAGAAGATTTTGAGATTGAATAGATTAAATGTAGGCTTTTATTCACATAAAAACACTGATCAAAAACTCATACATAGAGCTCGTTAAATATGGTAAGTGGAAAGTTTGATGCAAAAAAACAAAAACAATGAGGTTTGTTTACCATATTTGATGTAGACTATGTACATGTGTTTATGTGAATAAATCTGTTTTTCATATTAAATGTGTCTCTTCAGAAGACTTAGATTAAATAGCTTGATTCATACAGATTAATTTTACAATTCCTTTATGAACTTTTTAAAGTGTGAAAGTTTTGGTGTAATGGATTTTCAGTGGAGGCACTGAAATCAATACTACTGAAGTCGGTTACACTTTACTTGAAGGGGTGTGCATAAGACTGACATGACACCTTCATAATCATGACATGACACCTACATAATCATGACATGACACGTCATGAATATGAAGGTTTTTTATGCATGTTTATGACAACTGTCATTAAGTGTCATTCGCTCAGTTATGTAATTTTTAATGCAAAGATGACATTGTTTGAGATGTCTTTGGTATGGGCTATGGTTAGGGGTAAGGGTAGGGGTAGGGTTAGGTGAAATAATGTCATATTTGCATTAAAAATGACATAACTGAGCGAATGACACTTAATGACAGTTGTCATAAACATGCATAAAACCTCCTTCATATTCATGACATGTGTCATGTCATGATTATGAAGGTGCCATGTCAGTCTTATGCACACCCCTTCAAGTAAAGTGTTACCCTGAAGTCTTATGGTTCTGGAATAACATGAGAGTAAATAACTGACGACTGTTTTTGGGTGAACTGTCCTTTTACAAACATGTCTTTCCAAAAATCTTCCAGTGAACAAAAAGCTCTAGAAAACATAGGTTGAGAAAATGAGGCAGTGTATCTACTAAATGTATGGTATATAATTATTTCCCTCAAAGCCTTGTTTTCATGTGCATCAAATTACATATGGCATCTACCCTGACTAAGGTGAATAATCCCAAAGTTGCATTGTGCACAGTCTCATACCATGAGTAACATTCATGCAAAACACAGCTTAAACATTCCTTACACTTTGAAGTTGCTCTCTCATTTTTTCACACCTGTAACATTTCAAACTTTGTCAGACTTCGAGAATAAAGGCCAGGCATATTCCCGTGTCTGAGCTCACAGCTGGTCTCTTCATCATCCTCTCATTACATGCGTCTCAGGATGTGGGGCGGGTGGGGCTGTGATAAGCAGCAGGGCTATTAGGCAAACACTCTGCCATTAGTCAGCCATCTCACCCAGCCAACGTCTGTCTGACAGACAGTCAAGAAAAACGCTTTCAAAGCCAGGCCCGACTCCCTTTCCCACTGCCAGGCTAAGAGCACTTGCATTCTGGGCAGGCATCTTTTAGGGCGGCACTAATGGGTAGAGATTTGTCATTTAGTCCTAAAGAGATGGCAGCCATTTACTGCAGGCTCCCTAAATTACCCCGTGCGTTTGCGCCCTGCCTGTCAGTGCTGATGTAAGTGTTGCGGGCGTGTTCTCTCGCACCCACTGAACAATTATTTCCTCCAGTCCCTCTAGAGAGCCCGATCCAAAACCCCTCTGCTTACTGCTTTTTTGTTAAACCTGAAGAGATAAAATATTCATGCTGAACATTCTTGTGGTTTTATTTGTAGCGAATGGCACAACACATCACAGATTTATAGTTAGGACAACAGATATAATGCAAATGTGTTTGTGGCTGTGTGAATGTGTGCGTCTCTGGGGTGTGGGTCTCATTAACACCTCTCGGTAACACCCTTCTGCTCTGCTTCCTGAATGCCCACTCAAATCAGTCATGTTGCTGTCTACTCCACCGGCCCTCTCTAACCTCGCTCCTGCAGCAGACAGACTGCCCTTACACTCTCACACATTGTCTGTGTTGTCTTATTTTGGGTATCACTGTGCCTTATGTGAAATTGCTGATGGAAACTGACTGAAGATATTTCAGACGAAAGCCTACAAAAATACCTGTGCTGTTTAAGCCTACACACAAGCACAAGAAATGTTTGCTAGAAATTTTCTATACCACTAGAGAGGCTTTGTTATGGTTGCCAATTAAAGTTAAAGGATCTACCTCATGATTATTGAACATTAAACATGCTGATAATATTTATTTATTTATTTATTTATTTATTTATTTATTTATTTATTTATTTATGCATGCA